GTGTGTGTGTGTAGATGTGTGTGTGTCTAGATGTGTGTGTGTGTGTGTAGATGTGTGTGTGTGTAGATGTGTGTGTGTGTAGATGTGTGTGTGTAGATGTGTGTGTGTAGATGTGTGTGTGTAGATGTGTGTGTGTAGATGTGTGTGTGTGTAGATGTGTGTGTGTGTAGATGTGTGTGTGTGTGTGTGTAGATGTGTGTGTGTGTGTGTGTAGATGTGTGTGTGTGGATGTGTGTGTGTGTAGATGTGTATGTGTAGGTGTGTGTGTGTGTAGATGTGTGTGTGTAGATGTGTGTGTGTAGATGTGTGTGTGTAGATGTGTGTGTGTGTGTGTAGATGTGTGTGTGTGTAGATGTGTGTGTGTAGATGTGTGTGTGTGTAGATGTGTGTGTGTGTAGATGTGTGTGTGTGTAGATGTGTGTGTAGATGTGTGTGTGTGTAGATGTGTGTGTGTGTGTGTAGATGTGTGTGTGTGGATGTGTGTGTGTGTAGATGTGTATGTGTAGGTGTGTGTGTGTGTGTAGATGTGTGTGTGTGTAGATGTGCGTGTGTGTGTAGATGTGTGTGTGTGTGTAGATGTGTGTGTGTGTAGATGTGTGTGTGTAGATGTGTGTGTGTAGATGTGTGTGTGTGTAGATGTGTATGTGTAGGTGTGTGTGCGTGTGTAGATGTGTGTGCGTGTGTAGATGTGTGTGTGTGTAGATGTGTGTGTGGATGTGTGTGTGTGTGTAGATGTGTGTGTAGATGTGTGTGTGTGTACATGTGTGTGTAGATGTGTGTGTGTAGATGTGTGTGTGGATGTGTGTGTGTGTAGATGTGTGTGTGTGTAGATGTGTATGTGTACATGTGTGTGTGTGTAGATGTGTGTGTGTGTAGATATGTGTGTGTGTGTGTAGATGTGTGTGTGTGTAGATGTGTGTGTGTGTAGATGTGTGTGTGTGTGTAGTCCGGCAAAACAACCCCCTACCTCCTCGCGGTGCCGGACGGGCAACTCTGTCGTGGACAGCGCTGTGGGGGGAGATCCAATTTTGATTGGCTCCTCCCCTCATGGCATATGTGTCCACCACAGGGGCTAAACGGGGGCTCTGGACGGGTGCGAGGGGCTGGTAACCCCTCCACCTTCAATTAATTACCACGAAACCACGAATTAAACTGAAATATGTAACAACTAAGCTTGTGCCGGAGGCCCCGGGGGGCCAGGCGTCTATGACGTCTCCTGGCCAAACCCCAATTGGCGGAGCCAGGAGATTGAATACCTACCCTCGGGGCTACTCCAGAAACAACGAAAAGCCACTACGGGTGGCCACGTGGAATGTTCGAACGCTCACTGCAGAGGAGAGGCTGCCACTCCTCTGTCGGGAGCTGGACCGGTACCGCCTGGATCTATGCGGCATTCAGGAGGTCCGGTGGACCGGCTCTGGCTCCTGCCACCATGAGGGGTGGACAGTCCTCTACTCGGGGCAGCAGACTGCCAAACATCAGGGTGTGGGTCTTCTTTTGAACAAAAGAATGAAGGGGGCGTGGGAGCGTGGCGGTGAGGTGTGGGAAGCTGTAAGCCCCAGGCTACTTTGGGCTCGCCTTCCCATCAACCGGAGGCGAGGAATGGTGGTCGTGGTTACTTATGCCCCCACCGAAGATGAACATCCGTGGAGGGATGCAGGCAAAGCCGATGAGTCAGATGCCTTCTATGACCTCCTGTCACAGGTGCTGGCTAAAGTGGCCCCTCGGGATAGAGTCATCATGTTGGGTGACTTCAATGCCCGAGTTGGTCATGATACTGGCACCTGGTCTGGAGTGATTGGAGGGCATGGGCCAGATCAGCTCAATAACAACGGTAGGAGGCTGCTAGATTTTTGTGCAGCCCATGGGCTTGTAATTACCAACACGCTGTTCCGGCATCGGTGCATCCACACAACATCATGGATGCATGCCGGGTCCAAGCAAGAACATCTGCTGGACTACATAGTGACGGACCAGCGAATGCGAGCCCATGTCCTTGACACCAGGACCTACCGTGGAGCTGATCTGCCCTCTGACCATCGACTAGTCATCTGTAAGATGCGCCTGCCATTCTTCCACTCCGGTGGTGGGTGTACACCCAGGACCCCATTCCAACCTAAAGTGGCCTGGTCTCAGTTATCTGATGAAAGTTGCAAGCGAGAATTTCATCATCGCTTGCGGCTGGGATTGGCATCGTCCCCGACTCCTCCTGATGTCGAGGGTAAATGGGCGAGGTTTAGGACTGTGACTCATGCAGCTGCAATGGCTGCTTTGGGTACGCGGTCCAGACCTCCCCAGACACCCTGGATGACAGAGGAGTTGTTCACGATGGTTGAGAAAAAGCGACAGGCCCACTGTCATCGGCTACAGAATCCCACGTCAGAGAATGAGGAGGCTTACCGCAGCCTTCGCTCGGAGGTTCGGAGAGCCGTGAGGCGCTGCAAGGATGGGTGGTGGTCGCGGGTTGCTGAGGAGATGGAGTCTGCCTCAGTGGCCCGTGATCACAAATCTCTATTTAACTCCATCAAAAAAGTAACCTGCAGCGCCACACCTATTACCATCATTAGGGGAAAAAAAACGGTGATCCAATTTCCGACCCCCAGGAACAGGTTCGCAGATTTGCTGAGCATTTCTGTGAGGTCCTGGGGGAGGGAAAATCCCTCAGCCAGGAAAACATCGTGGCACAAAGTGAGGATGACCCTGCTGAGGCTGCGGTGCCTCAAATATTGGATGAAGTCACCCCCTGTGAGTGGCTGGCTGAGGTGCCATCTGCTGAGGAAGTATTGAAGGCGATCCGGAGTCTGAGACCAGGAAAGGCAGCGGGCAGAGATGATCTCCCAAGCGAAATGCTGAGGGAGGGTGGCGTTTGTGCAGACTGCCCTATATGACATCATAACAACAGTCTGGACCACTGGACGGGTTCCGCAGGATTGGAAGGATGCCCTGGTGGTCACCCTTTTTAAGAAGGGGGACCGCACAGACTGTAACAACTACAGGGGCATCTCACTCCTCAGTGTGCCGGGAAAGGTCCTGGCAAGGATTATTCAGCATCGCCTTGCCAGGCACGCTGAGGAGAGGCTTGCGGAGCCCCAATGCGGTTTCAGGAAAGGGCGGTCCTGCACAGATGCCATATTTTCTGTCCGTCTGCTACAGCAGAGGTGTAGGGAATTCCAACAAGACCTACATCTCTGCTTTATTGACCTGGTCAAGGCCTATGATACCATCAGTAGGCCTGGGCTCTGGGTCGTGCTTTTGGAGTACCTGACCCTCTGCTCACGATCATTAAGGACCTTCATGATGGTGAGCGGGCCCGGGTAAAACTACGTGGCCGGGAGTCAGAGCCATTCCCTGTACACCTTGGGGTGCGACAGGGATGTCCTCTGGCTCCCACATTATTTAACATCTATTTTGACCACGTAGTTCGTGAAGCCTTCAATAGCTGTACCGGGGGAATCTCCATATGGTACAGATATAATGGGAGGCTAATCGATGCCCGGGTGCGGTCAAGGGATGGCTCCCTATTGCTCAACCACGTTATGTATGCTGATGACTTGGTAATAGCTGCTCAGTCAGAGGAGGAGTTGGAGACGCTGCTGCTGAGACTGGAGCGTGCCACTAAGAGGTGGAGCCTTACCATCAGCCCCACCAAAACTAAGCACATGCCTGGGTATTTTGTACCATCGGACACTCCACCCCCACAACTCCCAATCGGTGATGGGGCAGTTGTGGAGAGAGTGGAGAGTTTCCCATACCTGGGCAGTGTGCTTATGACTGGCTCCAGTTTAACAGCAGAGGTCTCACTCCGAATCAGTCGAGCGGCAATATCTTTTCATCGGTTGCGTAACGCTGTGTGGAAGCTACCTGGTCTGTCGCTCCGCACTAAGCTTCAGGTCTTCTCGGCCACGGTCATTCCCTCCCTTCTCTACGCTTGCGAAACGTGGACCCCCCTAATGGAACATCTTCGCCGGTTGGAAGCATTTGGGCTGGCCTGCCTGCGATCCATCCTGGGTTTGACCAGACTGGATTGTGTGAGGAGCTCACAGATCCTTGAAAGGTCTGGGCGGGGTCCCATCGGTGAGCTCCTCCGGCGGGCAAGGCTGCGATGGCTGGGTCATGTAGCCCGCATGCCCAGCCACCGCATGCCGAGGCAGCTTTTGTTTGGCCGGATTGAGGGGGCTAGGCGGGCGCGGCGCGGGCTAGAGAGGAGATGGAGTGATGTGGTACAGGAGGACGTGGAGCTGAGTGGACTTGCCGATGACTGGTACCAGCGGTGTCAAGATCGGCCTCTGTGGAGGAGGCTCGTGAAGGATGCTACTGGGCAGTTGGAGGCAGTCGCCCTCCAACAACAACGGAGGGCGGAGGAGCGACGCTCACAACAACGAGCGGAGCGCCGGGTGGCTAAAGCACAGCAAGTTGGCACAGTAGGGGGCACAGGTGGTGCATCAGCCAGTCATCTCAGTCAGTCGACCCGTGGCACCTGCTGGGTCTGCCCCGTGACCTCCTGCCAGCGGGCGTTCGACACTTCACGTGGCCTCAGGGTGCACATAGCCTGGCACAAGCGTCGTGGTGACGTCACCGCCACTTAGTGGCGAATGGTGGTTGTTGTTGTTGTTGTGTGTAGATGTGTGTGTGTAGATGTGTGTGTAGATGTGTGTGTGTAGATGTGTGTGTGTAGATGTGTGTGTGTAGATGTGTGTGTGTGTAGATGTGTGTGTGTGTAGATGTGTGTGTAGATGTGTGTGTGTAGATGTGTGTGTGTAGATATGTGTGTGTAGATATGTGTGTGTAGATGTGTGTGTGTAGATGTGTGTTTGTGTAGATGTGTGTGTGTGTAGATGTGTGTTTGTGTAGATGTGTGTGTAGATGTGTGTGTGTGTGTGTAGATGTGTGTTTGTGCAGATGTATCTGTCTCCCTGTGTCTCCCCATCTCCCCCCCAGTGTGTCTCCCCACGTGTCTCCCCCCCCCCCGTGTGTCTCCCCCCCCCCGTGTGTCTCCCCGCCTACCAGAAGCTTGCTGCTGTTGTCTGAACGGATCCATTTCTGGGCCCAGAACTGGAGACACAGCCTGAGACACGGGGAGACACGGGGAGACACGGGAAGACACGGTGAGACACGGTGAGACACGGTGAGACACGGAGAGACACGTGGGGAGAGACACGGAGGGAGAGACACGTGGGGAGAGACACAGAGGGAGAGACACGTGGGGAGAGACACGGAGGGAGAGACACGTGGGGAGAGACACGGAGGGAGAGACACGTGGGGAGAGACACGTGGGGAGAGACACGGAGGGAGCGCTAGTGTTTCACGAGAAAGCGTGGAACGCATTCCCATACTGCCGCACGGGTGAGACACGGGGAGAGACACGTGGGGTGACACGTGGGGAGAGACACGGGGAGAGACACGTGGGGTGACACGTGGGGAGAGACACGGGGAGAGACACGTGGGGTGACACGTGGGGAGAGACACGGGGAGAGACACGGGGGAGACACGGGGTGAGACACGGGGAGAGAGACACGGGGAGAGAGACACGGGGAGAGAGACACGGGGAGAGAGACACGTGGGGAGAGACACGGGGGGAGAGACACGGAGGGAGAGACACGTGGGGAGAGACACGGGGGGAGAGACACGTGGGGAGAGACACGTGGGGAGAGACACGGGGGGAGAGACACGTGGGGAGAGACACGTGGGGAGAGACACGGAGGGAGAGACACGTGGGGTGAGACACGGGGGGGAGAGACACGTGGGGAGGGGGGTGGTGGCAGGGAGTGGAGCCTCGCCTGGTGAAGGTGCTGTGAGAATGCTGCAGAGACGCTCGCAGGCAGCTGGGTGGCGATGGCAATGGGGGTGCCGGGGGTGCCGTCCCAAGCCGTCACCACCTTCACCTGGGCGGGGAGATCACTGGGGGATCAACACTCACCCCACCACCACCCACCACTCACCCACCACTCACCCCACCACCACTCACCACTCACCCACCACTCACCACTCACCCACCACTCACCCCACCACCACTCACCACTCGCCACTCACCCACCACTCACCACTCACCCACCACTCACCACTCACCCACCACTCACCCACCACTCACCACTCACCCACCACCCACCCACCACTCACCCACCACTCACCCACTCACCACACTCACCCACCACTCACCACTCACCCACCACTCACCCACCACTCACCACTCACCACACTCACCCACCACTCACCCACCACTCACCACTCACCCACCACTCACCCACCACTCACCACTCACCCACCACTCACCACTCACCCACCACTCACCCACCACTCACCCACCACTCACCCACTCACCACACTCACCCACCACTCACCCACCACTCACCCACTCACCACACTCACCCACCACTCACCCACTCACCCACCACTCACCACTCACCCACCACTCACCCACCACTCACCCACCACTCACCACTCACCACACTCACCCACCACTCACCCACCACTCACCACTCACCCACTCACCACACTCACCACTCACCCACCACTCACCCACCACTCACCCACCACTCACCCACCACTCACCCACTCACCACACTCACCCACCACTCACCCACCACTCACCACTCACCCACCACTCACCACTCACTCACCACTCACCACTCACCCACCACTCACCACACTCACCCACTCACCACACTCACCACTCACCCACCACTCACCCACCACTCACCCACCACTCACCACTCACCCACCACTCACCACTCACCCACCACCCACCACTCACCCACCACTCACCCACCACTCACCCACCACTCACCCACTCACCTCACTCACCCACCACTCACCCACCACTCACCCACTCACCACTCACCCACTCACCACTCACCCACCACTCACCACACTCCCCCCTCACCACCACTCGCTCACCACACTCACCTCGTCGTTAATCACTCGGCACCTCGACTCGTCCACCAGGACTCCGACGGCACCACCACCACCACCGCCACCGCCACCACCACCGCCACCACCACCGCCACCACCGCCACCACCACCACCGCCACCACCGCCACCACCACCACCACCACCCTCCAGCTCGCTCTGCTGCAGCGTGGTGACGGCCGTGTGTCCGGGCCTCCGGCAGAAGGCCGGGAAGTCCACCATGTTGCCGCCCCCCTTGAGGAAGAGGGCCTCCAGCAGCAGGCGACGGTGACGTCCACGGAGGCCTTCCAGCTGAGCCCGCCGCACCTCCGCCACGCTGCAGCGCAGCCGAGCCAGCTGCTGCTGCTGCTGCTGCTGATGCTGCTGATGCTGCTGATGATGATGATGATGCTGATGATGCTGCTGATGCACGCTGCCGGTGCCGACGGCCTGGGCGGCGGCCTGGGCGGCCTGGGCGGCGGCCTGGGCAGCCCCCGCGGGCAGCGCCGGTGGAGCGGCGGGGGAGAGGCCCAGGGCCTGCGGGAGGATGGGGGGGGGGGGGGGCAAGGTGGGGGGGGTGGGGGGGGTGAGGAGGTGAGGGGTCGAGGGAGGATGGAGAGGTTGCGAGTGCTCTGCGTGCGTGTGTACTTGTGTATGCGTGCACAGACACACACACACACACAGACACACACACACAGACACACAAAGACACACACACACACAGACACACACACACAGACACACAGACACACACACACAGACACACAAAGACACACACACACACAGACACACACACACAGACACACAGACACACACACACAGACACACAGACACACACAGACACACACAGACAGACACACACACACAGACACACACACACAGACACACACACACAGACACACAGACACACACACACAGACACACAGACACACACACACAGACACACAGACACACACAGACACACACAGACAGACACACACAGACAGACACACACACACAGACACACACACACAGACACACACACACAGACACACAGACACACACACACAGACACACAGACACACACAGACACACACAGACAGACACACACACACAGACACACACACACAGACACACAGACACACACAGACACACACACACAGACACACACACACACACACAGACACACAAACACAGACACACACACACAGACAGCGCGCTAAACCGCGTGACGCTTCCACGTGCGTGGGTCACGTGACAGATGTGACGTCACAGCTCGCTTTGCCGTGCAAAAGATAAAACCCAAGGTGTAGTTGTAGAACGTTTGCACGGTGTACAGTCTGTGAAGCACCCACGTGGCAAATTTACAGTTTGTTGCGTGTCTGGAAGTACGCTAAACATTTTCGAACGGACACGCACACAATCGCAACTTTGCCCCGTGTATACATTTACGGAGATTTGAACCTATCCACGTGATCGACATATATGAGACCTTCTTTGGTTCTTTCTTCAGGTGAAAGGTACAGACCTGTCGGGACGACAGAGCTTCAATGAACGGTGTTAGGATTCGTAGCGACTTTTAAAGTGAGGCACCTTGACAAAGGGGGTTTACATATCAAATAGCTGAGGGATTAGCTTGTGACCGGTCGCAGAAATGGCTATGTTAAAGTCAACACCTACACATCCACAGAGGCACCTAGTACAAATCAAACAGGAGAATTTAGCATTGAAATAACTGAGGGATTAGCTTGTGACTGGTCACAGAAATGGCAATGTTAAAGTCAACACCTACACATCCACAGAGGCAACTAGTAATTTAGCATTTAAATAGCTGAGGGATTAGCTTGTGACTGGTCGCACAAATGGCTATGTTAAAGTCAACACCTACACATCCACAGAGGCACCTAGTACAAATCAAACAGGAGAATTTAGCATTGAAATAACTGAGGAATTAGCTTGTGACTGGTCGCACAAATGGCTATGTTAAAGTCAACACCTACACATCCACAGAGGCACCTAGTACATATCAAACAGGAGAATTTAGCATTGAAATAACTGAGGGATTAGCTTGTGACTGGTCACAGGAATGGCTATGTTAAAGTCAAAACCTACACATCCACAGAGGCACCTAGTACAAATCAAACAGGATAATTTAGCATTGAAATAACTGAGGGATTAGCTTGTGACTGGTCACAGGAATGGCTATGTTAAAGTCAACACCTACACATCCACAGAGGCACCTAGTACAAATCAAACAGGAGAATTTAGCATTGAAATAACTGAGGGATTAGCTTGTGACTGGTTACAGGAATGGCTATGTTAAAGTCAACACCTACACATCCACAGAGGCACCTAGTACAAATCAAACAGGAGAATTTAGCATTGAAATAACTGAGGGATTAGCTTGTGACTGGTCACAGAAATGGCTATGTTAAAGTCAACACCTACACATCCACAGAGGCAACTAGTCATTTAGCATTGAAATAGCTAAGGGATTAGCTTGTGCAAATAGCTGCGGGATTAGCTTGTGACTGGTCGCACAAATGGCTATGTTAAAGTCAAAACCTACACATCCACAGAGGCACCTAGTACAAATCAAACAGGAGAATTTAGCATTGAAATAACTGAGGGATAAGCTTGTGACTGGTCACAGGAATGGCTATGTTAAAGTCAAAACCTACACATCCACAGAGGCACCTAGTACAAATCAAACAGGAGAATTTAGCATTGAAATAACTGAGGGATTAGCTTGTGACTGGTCACAGGAATGGCTATGTTAAAGTCAACACCTACACATCCACAGAGGCACCTAGTACAAATCAAACAGGAGAATTTAGCATTGAAATAACAGAGGGATTAGCTTGTGACTGGTCACAGGAATGGCTATGTTAAAGTCAACACCTACACATCCACAGAGGCACCTAGTACAAATCAAACAGGAGAATTTAGCATTGAAATAACTGAGGGATTAGCTTGTGACTGGTCGCACAAATGGCTATGTTAAAGTCAACACCTACACATCCACAGAGGCACCTAGTACAAATCAAACAGGAGAATTTAGCATTGAAATAACTGAGGGATTAGCTTGTGACTGGTCACAGGAATGGCTATGTTAAAGTCAAAACCTACACATCCACAGAGGCAACTAGTAATTTAGCATTGAAATAACTGAGGGATAAGCTTGTGACTGGTCACAGGAATGGCTATGTTAAAGTCAAAACCTACACATCCACAGAGGCACCTAGTACAAATCAAACAGGATAATTTAGCATTGAAATAACTGAGGGATTAGCTTGTGACTGGTCACAGGAATGGCTATGTTAAAGTCAACACCTACACATCCACAGAGGCACCTAGTACAAATCAAACAGGAGAATTTAGCATTGAAATAACTGAGGGATTAGCTTATGACTGGTCACAGGAATGGCTATGTTAAAGTCAACACCTACACATCCACAGAGGCACCTAGTACAAATCAAACAGGAGAATTTAGCATTGAAATAACAGAGGGATTAGCTTGTGACTGGTCACAGGAATGGCTATGTTAAAGTCAACACCTACACATCCACAGAGGCACCTAGTACAAATCAAACAGGAGAATTTAGCATTGAAATAACTGAGGGATTAGCTTGTGACTGGTCGCACAAATGGCTATGTTAAAGTCAACACCTACACATCCACAGAGGCACCTAGTACAAATCAAACAGGAGAATTTAGCATTGAAATAACTGAGGGATTAGCTTGTGACTGGTCACAGGAATGGCTATGTTAAAGTCAACACCTACACATCCACAGAGGCACCTAGTACAAATCAAACAGGAGAATTTAGCATTGAAATAACTGAGGGATTAGCTTGTGACTGGTCGCACAAATGGCTATGTTAAAGTCAACACCTACACGTCCACAGAGGCACCTAGTACAAATCAAACAGGAGAATTTAGCATTGAAATAACTGAGGGATTAGCTTGTGACTGGTCACAGGAATGGCTATGTTAAAGTCAACACCTACACATCCACAGAGGCACCTAGTACAAATCAAACAGGAGAATTTAGCATTGAAATAACTGAGGGATTAGCTTGTGACTGGTCACAGGAATGGCTATGTCAAAGTCAAAGCCTACACATCCACAGAGGCACCTAGTACAAATCAAACAGGAGAATTTACCATTGAAACAGCTGAGGGATTAGCTTGTGACTGGTCACAGAAATGGCTATGTCAAAGTCAACACCTACACATCCACAGAGGCACCTAGTACAAATCAAACAGGAGAATTTAGCATTGAAATAACTGAGGGATAAGCTTGTGACTGGTCACAGGAATGGCTATGTTAAAGTCAACACCTACACATCCACAGAGGCACCTAGTACAAATCAAACAGGAGAATTTAGCGTTGAAATAACTGAGGGATTAGCTTGTGACTGGTCACAGGAATGGCTATGTTAAAGTCAACACCTACACATCCACAGAGGCAACTAGTAATTTAGCATTGAAATAGCTAAGGGATTAGCTTGTGCAAATAGCTGCGGGATTAGCTTGTGACTGGTCACACAAATGGCTATGTTAAAGTCAACACCTATCAATTACTTTGATAGTGGCATTGTCTTTGAGCTGTACACTATACACTTCTATACACTACTATACACACTAGTGCACTACACACTAGTGCTGTACTAGTATACTATACTATACACTACTATACACTACACTACGATAAACTACTCTATACACTACACTACTCTATACACTACACGATACACTACACTACTATACACACTAGTGCACTACACACTAGTGCTGTACTAGTATACTATACTATACACTACTATACACTACATGATACACTACTCTATACACTACACGATACACTACACTTCTATACACTACTATACACACTAGTGCACTACACACTAGTTCTGTACTAGTATACTATACTATACACTACTATACACTACACGATACACTACTCTATACACTACACTACTCTATACACTACACGATACACTACACTACTATACACACTAGTGCACTACACACTAGTGCTGTACTAGTATACTACACTATACACTACACTACTATACACTACACTATACACTACTCTATACACTACACTACTCTATACACTACACGATACACTACACTACTATACACACTAGTGCACTACACACTAGTGCTGTACTAGTATACTACACTATACACTACACTACTATACACTACACTATACACTACTCTATACACTACACTACTCTATACACTACACGATACACTACACTTCTATACACTACTATACACACTAGTGCACTACACACTAGTTCTGTACTAGTATACTACACTATACACTACTACACTACTCTATACACTATACTACTATACACACTATACGCTAGTGCACTACACTATATACTACACACAGCACACTACACACAGCACACTACACACAGCACACACTACACACAGCACACACTACACACTACACACAGCACACAGTACACTACACACAGCACACTACACACAGCACACTACACACTACACACAGCACACTACACACTACACACAGCACACTACACACAGCACACTACACACAGTACACTACACACAGCACACTACACACAGCACACCACACACTACACACAGCACACTACACACAGCACACTACACACAGTACACTACACACTACACACAGCACACTACACACAGCACACTACACACCACACACAGCACACCACACACAGCACAGTACACTACACACAGCACAGTACACACACCACACAGCACACCACACACAGCAGTGTCCTGTGTATAGTGTACTACTACACACAGCACACCACACACAGCACACCACACACAGCACACTACACACTACACACAGCACACTACACACAGCACACTACACACAGCACACACTACACACCACACACAGCACACTACACACTACACACAGCACACTACACACAGTACACTACACTACACACAGCACACTACACACAGCACACTACACACAGCACACTACACACACAGTACACTACACACTACACACAGCACACCACACACTACACACTACACACAACACACACCACACTACACACCACACACTACACACCACACACAACACACACCACACACACAGCGTGAAGCATTCACCTGCGAGACCGCCTGCTGCTGCTGCTGCTGCTGCTGCTGCAGCTGCAGCAGGGCAGTGCCCCCGGCACCGCTGACGTGCTGTGGCAGCAGCTGCCCCCGTATGAGGCTGCTGAGCTGCGGGGAGACGCCGGCGATGCTGACGGCACCGCCGGCACTGCCGGCACCGCCGCTGCTGCCGGTGGGCCCCAAGTGGTGCACCGTGCTTCCGGGAAGCGCGGCCAGGCGCCGCTCCCGCAGCGATCCCGGGCACACTCCCGCGGCGGCGCTTTCGCTCCCGCCGGCCACCGGCGCCCCAGGTGAGGCGCTCCCCGCGGCGCTTCCCGCGGCGCTTCCGATGCTTCCCGCGGCGCTTCCCACGATCCCCGCCGCGGCGCTTCCGATGCTTCCGATGCTTCCCGCGGCGCTTCCCACGATCCCCGCCGCGGCGCTTCCCACGATCCCCCCCACGGCGCTTCCGATGCTTCCCGCGGCGCTTCCCACGATCCCCGCCGCGGTGCTTCCGATGCTTCCGATGCTTCCGATGCTTCCGATGCTTCCCGCGGCGCTTCCGAGAATCGGAGCCGCCGCTTCTTGCTGCAGCGTGACGTTGCTTGGCAATACAAGCTGCTGCTGCTGCTGTTGCTGCTGTAGCTGCTGCTGCTGCTGCAGCTGCTGCTGCTGCTGCAGCTGCTGCTGCTGCTGTAGCTGCTGTAGCTGCTGCTGCTGCGAAGCGCTGGGGCCAACGCCGGCCGTGGAAGCAGCGCCGCCGGCGTTTGCGTTGGAAAGGACTGGCGGTGTGGCGGTGGCGACAGCGGCGACAGCGGCGACAGCGGCGACAGCGGCGACGTCAACGGAAGGGGCTGGGCTCGTGGTGCCGAGGGTTGCGGTGGCCGCCGCCGATCGCGAAGCTGCCGACGTGGTGGTGGTGGTGGCGGCCGTGGCGGCCGTGGCGGCCGTGGCGGATGACAGGACCCTCTGAAGGCTCACGGGAGCGGCGGAGAGCTGTGGGGGTAAGGAGAACCGTTGACATGGTTTCTGTCGCCGGCGGCGGCAATGGTCACCGTAGCCGTCACAACGCTCTCGTTGTCATCATCGTCATCGTCGTCACCGTCATCATCATCGCCATCATCATCATCGTCGTCAGCAGCATTGATCACCGAAGCTATCACAACACTCTCGTTGTCATCATCATCGTCACAGTCATCATCATCGTCACCGTCATCATCGTCAGCAGCATTGATCACCGTAGCTATCACAACACTCTCATTGTCATCATCATCACCATCGTCACCGTCATCACCATCGTCATCATCATCATCGTCACCGTCATCGCCATCATCATCATCGTCACCGTCATCATCATCGCCATCATCACCATCGTCGTCGTCGTCATCGTCAGCAGCATTGATCACCGTAGCTATCACAACACTCTTGTCGTCATCATCATCATCACCATCATCATCGTCACCGTCATCATCATCACCATCGTCATCATCGTCAGCAGCATTGATCACCGTAGCCATCACAACACTCTCACTGTCATCATCATCACCATCGTCACCGTCATCGGCACCGTCATCATCGTCACCGTCATCACCGTCGTCATCAGCAGCATTGATCACCGTTGCCATCACAACGCTCAAGCTTATTAGTTCCATATGTAACTCGTGGTTTCGTGGTAATTAATTGAAGGTGGAGGGGTTACCAGCCCCTCGCACCCGTCCAGAGCCCCCGTTTAGCCCCTGTGGTGGACACGGACGCCACGAGAGGGGAGGAGCCAATCGGAATTGGCCCTCCCCCCCACAGCATTGTCCACGACAGAGTTGCCCGTCCGGCACCGCGAGGAGGTACTCAACGTACACGCACACACGCACAACAACAACAACCGCCATTCGCCACTAAGTGGCGGTGACGTCACCACGACGCTTGTGCCAGGCTATGTGCACCGTGAGGCCACGTGGAGTGTCGAACGCCCGCTGGCAGGAGGTCACTGGGCAGACCCAGGTGCCACGGGTCGACTGACTGAGATGACTGGCTGATGCACCACCTGTGCCCCCTACTGTGCCAACCTGCTGTGCTTTAGCCACCCGGCGCTCCGCTCGTTGTTGTGAGCGTCGCTCCTCCGCCCTCCGTTGTTGTTGGAGGGCGACTGCCTCCAACTGCCCAGTAGCATCCTTCACGAGCCTCCTCCACAGAGGCCGATCTTGACACCGCTGATACCAGTCATCGGCAAGTCCACTCAGCTCCACGTCCTCCTGTACCACATCACTCCATCTCTTCTCTAGCCCGTGCCGCGCCCGCTTAGCCCCCTCAATCCGGCCAAACAAAAGCTGTTTCGGCATGCGGTGGCTGGGCATGCGGGCTACATGACCCAGCCATCGCAGCCTTGCCTGCCGGAGGAGCTCACCGATGGGACCCTGCCCAGATCTTTCAAGGATTTGTGAGCTCCTCACACAATCCAGTCTGGTTAAACCCAGGATGGATCGTAGGCAGGCCAGCCTAAATGTTTCTAACCGGCGAAGATGTTCCATTAGGGGGGTCCACGTTTCGCAAGCGTAGAGAAGGGAGGGAATGACCGTGGCCGAGAAGACCTGAAGCTTAGTGCGGAGCGACAGACCAGGTAGCTTCCACACAGCGTTACGCAACCGATGAAAAGATATTGCCGCTCGACTGATTCGGAGTGAGACCTCTGCTGTTAAACTGGAGCCAGTCATAAGCACACTGCCCAGGTATGGGAAACTCTCCACTCTCTCCACAACTTCCCCATCACCGATTGGGAGTTGTGGGGGTGGAGTGTCCGATGGTACAAAATACCCAGGCAGGTGCTTAGTTTTGGTGGGGCTGATGGTAAGGCCCCACCTCTTAGTGGCACGCTCCAGTCTCAGCAGCAGCATCTCCAACTCCTCCTCTGACTGAGCAGCTATTACCAAATCATCAGCATACATAACGTGGTTGAGCAATAGGGAGCCATCCCTTGACCGCACCCGGGCATCGATTAGCCTCCCATTATATCTGTACCATATGGAGATTCCCCTTGTACAGCTATTGAAGGCTTCACGAACTACGTGGTCAAAATAGATGTTAAATAATGTGGGAGCCAAAGGACATCCCTGTCGCACCCCAGGGTGTACAGGGAATGGCTCTGACTCCCGGCCACGTAGTTTTACCCGGGCCCGCTCACCATCATGAAGGTCCTTAATGATCGTGAGCAGAGGGTCAGGTACTCCAAAAGCACGAAGAACGACCCAGAGCCCAGGCCTACTGATGGTATCATAGGCCTTGACCAGGTCAATAAAGCAGAGATGTAGGTCTTGTTGGAATTCCCTATACCTCTGCTGTAGCAGACGGACAGAAAATATGGCATCTGTGCAGGACCGCCCTTTCCTGAAACCGCATTGGGGCTCCGCAAGCCTCTCCTCAGCGTGCCTGGCAAGGCGATGCTGAATAATCCTTGCCAGGACCTTTCCCGGCACACTGAGGAGTGAGATGCCCCTGTAGTTGTTACAGTCTGTGCGGTCCCCCTTCTTAAAAAGGGGGACCACCAGGGCATCCTTCCAATCCTGCGGAACCCGTCCAGTGGTCCAGACTGTTGTTATGATGTCATATAGGGCAGTCTGTACACAAACGCCACCCTCCCTCAGCATTTTGCTTGGGAGATCATCTCTGCCCGCTGCCTTTCCTGGTCTCAGACTCCGGATCGCCTTCAATACTTCCTCAGCAGATGGCACCTCAGCCAGCCACTCACAGGGGGTGACTTCTTCCAATATTTGAGGCACCGCAGCCTCAGCAGGGTCATCCTCACTTTGTGCCACGATGTTTTCCTGGCTGAGGGATTTTCCCTCCCCCAGGACCTCACAGAAATGCTCAGCAAATCTGCGAACCTGTTCCTGGGGGTCGGAGATTGGATCACCGTTTTTTCCCCTAATGATGGTAATAGGTGTGGCGCTGAAGGTTACTTTTTTGATGGAGTTAATTAGAGATTTGTGATCACGGGCCACTGAGGCAGACTCCATCTCCTCAGCAACCCGCGACCACCACCCATCCTTGCAGCGCCTCACGACTCTCCGAACCTCCGAGCGAAGGCTGCGGTAAGCCTCCTCATTCTCTGACGTGGGATTCTGTAGCCGATGACAGTGGGCCTGTCGCTTTTTCTCAACCATCCTGAACACCTCCTCTGTCAGCCAGGGTCTCTGGGGAGGTCTGGACCGCGTACCCAAAGCAGCCATTGCAGCTGCATGAGTCACAGTCCTAAACCTCGCCCATTTACCCTCGACATCAGGAGGAGTCGGGGACGATGCCAATCCCAGCCACAAGCGTTGTTGAAATTCTCGCTTATGTTGGAATGGGGTCCTGGGTGTACACCCACCACCGGAGTGGAAGAATGGCAGGCGCATCTTACAGATGACTAGTCGATGGTCAGAGGGCAGATCAGCTCCACGGTAGGTCCTGGTGTCAAGGACATGGGCTCGCATTCGCTGGTCCGTCACTATGTAGTCCAGCAGATGTTCTTGCTTGGACCCGGCATGCATCCATGATGTTGTGTGGATGCGCCGATGCCGGAACAGCGTGTTGGTAATTACAAGCCCATGGGCTGCACAAAAATCTAGCAGCCTCCTACCGTTGTTATTGAGCTGATCTGGCCCATGCCCTCCAATCACTCCAGACCAGGTGCCAGTATCATGACCAACTCGGGCATTGAAGTCACCCAACATGATGACTCTATCCCGAGGGGCCACTTTAGCCAGCACCTGTGACAGGAGGTCATAGAAGGCATCTGACTCATCGGCTTTGCCTGCATCCCTCCACGGATGTTCATCTTCGGTGGGGGCATAAGTAACCACGACCACCATTCCTGGCCTCCGGTTGATGGGAAGGCGAGCCCAAAGTAGCCTGGGGCTTACAGCTTCCCACACCTCACCGCCACACTCCCACGCCCCCTTCATTCTTTTGTTCAAAAGAAGACCCACACCCTGTTGTTTGGCAGTCTGCTGCCCCGAGTAGAGGACTGTCCACCCCTCATGGTGGCAGGAGCCAGAACCGGTCCACCGGACCTCCTGAATGCCGCGTAGATCCAGGCGGTACCGGTTCAGCTCCCGACAGAGGAGTGGCAGCCTCTCCTCTGCAGTGAGCGTTCGAACATTCCACGTGGCCACCCGTAGTGGCTTTTCGTTGTTTCTAGAGTAGCCCCGAGGGTAGGTATTCAATCTCCTGGCTCCGCCAATTGGGGTTTGGCCAGGAGACGTCATAGACGCCTGGCCCCCCGGGGCCTCCGGCACAAGCTTATTAGTTACATATTTCAGTTTAATTCGTGGTTTCGTGGTAATTAATTGAAGGTGGAGGGGTTACCAGCCCCTCGCACCCGTCCAGAGCCCCCGTTTAGCCCCTGTGGTGGACACATATGCCATGAGGGGAGGAGCCAATCAAAATTGGATCTACCCCCACAGCACTGTCCACGACAGAGTTGCCCGTCCGGCACCGCACACACACACACACACGCACGCACACACACACAGGCACACGCACACACGCACACACGCACACACACACACGCACACACACACAGGCAACGCGCACACACACGCACACACAAGCGCACCAACGTCCGGACGAGGTGGTAGCCGTACCTGTATGAACGAAGTGCAGGGCAGCTGTTTTAACCTCTGTTGAACGGTGAAGGGCGCGGAGACTTGCTGCTGCTGCGGCTGCTGTTGCTGCTGCTGTATAAGAACTTGCTGCTGCTGTTGCTGCTGCTGCGGCTGCTGTTGCTGTTGCATAAGAACTTGCTGCTGCTGCTGCGGCTGCTGTATAAGAATTTGCTGCTGCTGCTGCGGCTGCTGTATAAGAATTTGCTGCTGCTGCTGCTGCGGCTGCTGCTGCTGTATAAGAACTTGCTGCTGCTGTTGCTGCTGCTGCTGCAACAGCAGGTGCTGCTGCTGCAGCAGCACCTGCTGTTGCATGAGCTGCTGCTGCTGCTGCAGAGTCGCCTGCTGCTGCTGCTGCTTGTGCTGTACCAACTGGTGCTGCGTGCCCTGTTGCGCCACCTGCTTCAACAACTTCTGCGGCACTTGCTGCTGCTGCTGCTGCTGCAGCCGCTGCTGCTGTGTCACATGTTGGAGTACAACCTTCTGCTGCTGCTGCTGCTGTGTCACGACCACCTGCTGCTGCTGCTGCTGCAGGCCCTGCTTCAACACAGCATGCGGCGACAGCAACTGTTGCTGCTGCTGCTGCTGCATCAGTTTCTGATGGGCAGGCTTGGCAAGCTGCTGCTGCTGCTGCAGACCCTGCTGCGGCCCCACAACATACTGCTGCACCGTGAAGCTGGTAGGTTGCTGTGGCCGTTGCTGTAGCAGTTGGGGCTGCTGCTGCTGCTGCTGCGGCTGCTGCTGCGGCTGTAATGGAGACTTGCGGGCTGTCTGCTGCTGCTGCTGTATCTGCTGCTGCAACAACAGCTGCTGTTGCAGCTGCTGCTGTTGCTGTTGCAACAGCTGCGCCGGCTGCGCGACCACCTGCTGCTGCTGCTGCTGAGAAGGAGGAGGAGGAGGCTGCTGTGCCTGCTGCGGCTGCTGTTGCTGCTGGGCCCCTGCTTGTGGTAGTTCCTTGCTCATGATGGCTTGCTGCTGTTTCACCAGCTGTTGTAGCTGCTGTTGCTGCTGCTGCTGCTGCTGCCTAGCGTGCGGCTGCAGCAGTTGCTGTGGCTGTTGTATTTGCTTCACCTGCTGCTGCTGCTGCTGCTGGAGCTGCTGTCCCACTTGCAGCTGCTGCTGTTGTTGCTTTGGCTGCTGTTGCAGCGGTGCCTGCTGCTGTATTTGCTTCACCTGCTGCTGTTTAACGTGCTGCTGCTGCTGCAGCTGTGCCTGCTGCTGTGCCTGCTGCTGGATTTCCTTCACCTGCTGCTGCTTAACATCCTGCTGTTGCAGCGGTGCCTGCTGCTGTATTTGCTTCACCTGCTGCTGCTGCTGTTGCTGCTGTAACTGCTGCTGCTGCTGTATGACTTGCAGCTGTTGCTGAAGCTGCTGTTGCTGCTGTTGCTCCTGTAACTGCTGCTGCTGTTGCTCCTCCTGCAACTGCTGCTGCTGCTCCTGTAACTGCTGCTCCTGTAACTGCTGCTGCTGCTGTATCTGCTGCTGCTCCTGCAACTGCTGTTGCTGCTGTATCTGCTGCTGTTCCTGCAACTGCTGTTGCTGCTGCTGTATTACTTGCAGCTGCAGCAGCTGCTGCTGCTGCTGCTGCTGTTGCCGTAACTGCTGTGGCTGCTGTCCAATCAGCTGCTGCTGCTGCTGCGGCTGAAGTTGTAAAGTTCCCTCCTCCAGATCTCCCTTCTCCTCGGCGGCAGGAGCAACGTCGTCACCGTCGTCGTCGCCGCCACCACCACCACCACCACCACGCGCCGGCGGGCAGCCCTGGTGGAGGAGTTTGCGTGAGCCGCTGTCAGCCCCTCCGCCCGTGCTCATCATATCCCTACACCTGACAGCAAGGGGCGAGAGAGAGGGAGAGAGAACGTAGTCCCCTCCTGTTTAACACGGAGGGAGGAGGGAGTAGCGGCCTTCGCGAAACAATGTGTGTACGGATAAACGGGGGGAGGGGGGGACCACGTCTACGTAAGAACGAGTTGGGTTCCACAGGTGTCTGTTCGCAAGTCGATTTGTCAGCGTATACAGGGCTACCATACATTATACACTACTATACTACACTACTATACATTATACACTACTATACTACACTACTATACACACTACACTACTATACTACACTACTATACACACTACACTACTATACATTATACACTACTATACTACACTACTATACACACTACACTACTATACACACTACACTACACTACTATACACACTACACTACTATACATTATACACTACTATACTACACTACTATACACACTACTATACACACTACTATACTACATTATATACTACATTATACACTACTATACACACTACACTACTATACATTATACACTACTATACACACTACACTACTATACATTATACACTACTATACATTATATACTACACTACTATACACACTACACTACTATACATTATACACTACTATACACACTACTATACTACATTATATACTACACTACTATACACACTACACTACTATACACACTACACTACTATACATTATACACTACTATACTACACTACTATACACACTACACTACTATACACACACTACTATACTACACTACTATACTACATTATATACTACTATACTACATTATACACTACTATACTACATTATATACTACTACACTACTATACACACTACACTACTATACTACATTATATACTACTATACATTATACACTACATTATATACTACTATACTACATTATATACTATACATTATACACTACTATACATTATACACAGCATACACGACTAAGATGTGGCCTCGACTTGACAGTACTGGTACTATGACAAACAACAATTGGCAAAGTCTAGCAGTGGACACACCACCCACTACTAGGGCCTGCTATCTGGACCCATGGACCGTGATGATGATACACTACAGTATACACTACACCAGTATACACTCCGCTATACACAACACTACGATAGACTACACTACCATAACACTGCCCATAGACCTAACAATGCCCATAGACTCAACACTGCACCATAGACTCAACACTGCACCATAGACTCAACACTACCCATAGACTCAACACTGCACCATAGACTCAACACTGCCCGTAGACCTAACACTGCCCATAGACTCAACACTGCACCATAGACTCAACACTGCACCATAGACTCAACACTGCACCATAGACTCAACACTGCCCATAGACCTAACACTGCCCATAGACTCAACACTGCACCATAGACTCAACACTGCACCATAGACTCAACACTACCCATAGACTCAACACTGCCCCATAGACTCAACACTACCCATAGACTCAACACTGCACCATAGACTCAACACTGCACCATAGACTCAACACTGCCCATACACTCAACACTACCCATCGACTCAACACTGCCCATAGACTCAACATTGCCCATAGACTCAACACTGCCCCATAGACTCAACACTGCCCCATAGACTCAACACTGCCCATAGACTCAACACTGCACCACAGACTCAACACTGCACCACAGACTCAACACTGCACCATAGACTCAACACTGCCCATAGACTCAACACTGCACCATAGACTCAACACTGCACCATAGACTCAACACTACCCATAGTACTAACAACACTACCCATAGTACTAACAACACTACCCATAGTACTAACAACACTACCCATAGACTCAACACTACCCATAGTAATAACAACACTACCCATAGTACTAACAACACTACCCATAGTACTAACAACACTACCCATAGACTCAACACTACCCATAGTACTAACAACACTACCCATAGTACTAACAACACTACCCATAGTACTAACAACACTACCCATAGTACTAACAACAATACCCATAGTACTAACAACACTACCCATAGTACTAACAATACCCATAGTACTAACAACAATACCCAAAGTACTAACAACACCACCCATAGCACTAACACTACCCATAGTACTAACAACACTACCCATAGTACTAACACTACCCATAGTACTAACAACACTACCCATAGTACTAACAACAATACCCAAAGTACTAACAACAATACCCATAGTACTAACAACAATACCCAAAGTACTAACAACACTACCCATAGCACTAACAACACTACCCATAGTACTAACAACAATACCCATAGTACTAACAACAATACCCATAGTACCAACAACACTACCCATAGACTCAACACTACCCATAGTACTAACAACACTACCCATAGTACTAACAACACTACCCATAGTACTAACAACACTACCCATAGTACTAACAACACCACCCATAGTACTAACAACACTACACATAGTACTAACAACACCCATAGACTCAACGCTACCCATAGACTCAACAATACCCATAGTACTAACAACACTACCCATAGAAGTAACAACACTACCCATAGTACTAACAACACTACCCATAGTACTAACAACACTACCCATAGTACTAACAACACTACCTAGTACTAACAACACTACCCATAGTACTAACAACACTACCCATAGTACTAACATCACTACCCATAGTACTAACAACACTATCCATAGTACTAACAACACTACCCATAGACTCAACACTACCCATAGACTCAACAATACCCATAGTACTAACAACACTACCCATAGTACTAACAACACTACCCATAGTACTAACATCACTACCCATAGTACTAACAACACTATCCATAGTACTAACAACACTACCCATAGACTCAACACTACCCATAGACTCAACAATACCCATAGTACTAACAACACTACCCATAGTACTAACAACACTACCCATAGTACTAACACCACTACCCATAGTACCAACACTATCCATAGTACTAACAACACTACCCACAGACTCAACACTACCCATAGTATTAACACTACCCATAGTACTAACAACACTGCCCATAGTACTAACACTACCCATAGTACTAACACTACCCATAGTACTAACAACACTACTCATAGTACTAACACTACACATAGTACTAACACTACACATAGTACTAACAACACTACTCATAGTACTAACAACACTACCCATAGTACTAACAACACTACCCATAGTACTAACAACACTACCCATAGTACTAACAACACTACCCATAGACTCAACACTACTCATAGTACTAACACTACACATAGTACTAACACTACACATAGTACTAACAACACTACCCATAGACTCAACAATACCCATAGTACTAACAACACTACCCATAGACTCAACAATACCCATAGTACTAACAACACCACCCATAGTACTAACAACAATACCCATAGACTCAACACTACCCATAGTACTAACAACAATACCCATAGTACTAACACTACCCATAGTACTAACAACACCACCCATAGTACTAACAATACCCATAGTACTAACAACACTACCCATAGTACTAACACTACCCATAGTACTAACAACACCACCCATAGTACCAACAACACTACCCATAGTACTAACACTACCCATAGTACTAACAACACTACCCATAGTACTAACAACACTACCCATAGTACTAACAACAATACCCATAGTACTAACAACACTACCCATAGTACTAACAACACTACCCATAGTACTAACAACACTACCCATAGTACTAACAACACTACCCATAGTACTAACAACACTACCCATAGTACTAACAACAATACCCATAGTACTAACAACACTACCCATAGTACTAACAACACTACCCATAGTACTAACAACACTACCCATAGTACTAACAACACTACCCATAGTACTAACAACACTACCCATAGTACTAACAACAATACCCATAGTACTAACAACACTACCCATAGTACTAACAACACTACCCATAGTACTAACAACACTACCCATAGTACTAACAACACTACCCATAGTACTAACAACACTACCCATAGTACTAACAACACTACCCATAGTACTAACAACACTACCCATAGTACTAACAACAATACCCATAGTACTAACAACAATACCCATAGTACTAACAACACTACCCATAGTACTAACAACACTACCCATACACTCAACAATACCCATAGTACTAACAACACTACCCATAGTACTAACAACACTACCCATAGTACTAACACTACCCATAGTACTAACAACACTACCCATAGTACCAACAACACTACCCATAGTACTAACAACACTACCCATAGTACCAACAACACTACCCATAGTACTAACAACACTACCCATAGTACTAACAACACTACCCATAGTACTAACAACACTACCCATAGTACTAACAACACTACCCATAGTACTAACAACACCCATAGTACTAACAACACTACCCATAGTACTAACAACACTACCCATAGTACTAACAACACTACCCATAGTACTAACAACACTACCCATAGTACTAACAACACTACCCATAGTACTAACAACACTACCCATAGTACCAACAACACCACCCATAGTACTAACAATACTACCCATAGACTCAACAATACCCATAGTACTAACAATACCCATAGTACTAACAACACTACCCAGAGTACTAACAACACTACCCATAGTACTAACAACACCATC